ATCAATTCTTCTCCGCAAAACACACTTATCTGAACTTAAACATGATATACTGAACAAATGAACATGTTGGTTTGAAAGAACATTTACTTAGCAAATATGCTACTCGTGAACAGCCCGTGGCGCGTGCTACGTGCACGGCCACGCCACCTTTGGCCGAAACACCGCAAAACATGATTAATCATCTGAACAATTAAGCTAAACTAAACATGATTTTGCATATAAAGACTAAATATGCAATATAGTTCGGAGAATTTGACTTAGAACATGACATGATCGGCACAGCTTCTCGCACGGCCTTAACGGCATAAAACGTGCATAATCGTCAAAATTGTAAACTGAGCTTAATAGACATGATAATCTCAACCTACAACGACACGGAATTTACCTCGGATTATATTCAACTGACAACAATACTTCGGACTCCCATGTTCGCGTGGCTCTCCGCGTGCGTGGCGTCTTTGTGCGGTGCAATTGCGTGCGATAGCTAGCTGCGCGACGTGCGATACTCTCGGCTAGCGGGTGCGTGCTGAACTTACGGTGCTAAGCTGATCGGAATTCTCAATCTCACTAAACTCTCTCTTTGCTGAACTTAGAAGATATTTGGGAGAACAATATATGCTAAAGTGTGGAAATTTTTCATCCCAAACTCCCTTTTACACTCACCGAACCAAAACTATGGATGATGAGGTTATCTTAGGCTAATGACACTTGGAATAATAGGGAGTGTTAGGAATGATTAATCACCCACTTAACTCTTCCTAATGCCACGTATAAGACCCCAAAATAGAATATAATTTCATGACTTAAAGAATAAAAAAAAATCATACGGCATTTGGGACTAACGGAGAGAATTTAATACAAAAATTCGTACGGCTTTGCTTGAGTTAGTGTGATTAATTAATAATTAATCACCTTTTTTATGTTTAATCTTTAATTAAACATAATGCTTAATTACCAAAATTATTCCGGACGTAAACGGTACGTCGAAAATAATTTTCGGTAATCTCAACTGAAAATAATTAATTCCGAAAATAATATCGGAACTAAAATATAATTTATATTGATAAACTGACGGGATATCGCTGACTGAATAATTAATTCCGGACTCAATAATTAAATAAATGAATCGGAATTAAATTGGAAACTTATTCGGTTACTTAAATAAGCAAATCGAATAACTTATCGACTAATAGTCGAACTTAGAATATAACTGACTGACTAACCTGAACTTGAGCATGAACATGATTATTTATTAACAAAGGCTAGCTTAAAACTAAAAGCTAGTATTTTCCTTTATTAATAAAATACGGGGCGTTACATCCACAACTCCAACTTCTCCAAGTTGTGGCTCCAGCATCTCGATAAATTTTTAATTAATAATACCGAGATATCTCCATGAAAATGATTATTCCCTAGGTTCAATGATTTCAAGTGGCCTTTATCCCACAGCAGATCAGAGATCTAATCTGTGCTGTAATCAAGTGAGTTACCTTCAATGTTGAGATATTGAAGATTTCTCGACAGAAGAAAATGAGGGTCCAATGAGGTGTATTGGTTGGAAAAAAGATCAAGAAAATGCAATGAAGTCATGTTACAGAGAAAGCATGGAATGTCTCCTTTAAAGAGATTGTTACTCAAATCTTGGTGTTGTATATTAGTAGATAGCGTGGAATTTAAGCAACTAGTATGAGGTAGGTATGTGTTATCAAGCATGGAATGTCTCCTTTAAAGAGATTGTTACTCAAATCTTGGTGTTGTATATTAGTAGATAGCGTGGAATTTAAGCAACTAGTATGAGGTAGGTATGTGTTATCAAGCCCGCTATGTGACAAGCTTAATATTTCTAAAGAATGAAATGTACTGAGTACCGTCGCAAGGTGATCATTTGTGGTGCTAAGGTTGACATGACACATATCAAGGGACTCCATCAATGAAAGATTAGCAGCCCATATGAGATTGTCGACTCTTAGAGAAGATAACAGTCCACCAAGATCACGTGCAAGAGATATTTATTAAT